GCTCTTTTTTTTTTTTCTTTTTTTTTTTTTTTTTTAGAGCGTATTATTGGCTCGGGTCAGACTGTAAGTGGAATGGATTATGGACCGACTCGACTCTCTGACGTCACGCCACCATGGGGGCGCTGCTGTCAGCACTGCGCATGCGCAGATGCTTTGCCTCACGCGGATCTGGTCTCTGCGCGCGCGCAGTGTGCCACACCCGGTGTGGGCGAGCGCGGGCTTGATTGTTTGTAAATGGTGTGTTGGTGTGTATAGGCTTCTCAAGGTCCTTTCCGGTGAGGAAAAAAATGGAATTGGGTAGTCCTACGCAAGACGAACGGCCGGTTCAAGATGGAAGGGAGAAAGATGTGCTATAGACGCTTTACACGCGCGCCAGATTAGAGCCGCCATTGCTGACCTTCTTCCTCGCCTTACCGAGATACCCATCTTTGGAAGGAGCGTTGGCGAGCCCCCACAAAGGCCAGTGCTAAGAGGAACGACACTGTAGAGTATAAAATGGCGCAATAACCTGGCCTGCTATAGTAACGACAAAGTGAAGTAAATCAGATAAGAGGGAAAAAAACTGCTGCAAAGCGTCTCTAGACCTTTGCAAAAATTGCCTACAGCGCGTTGCCATCTTTGTCTGCTGGACTGTGGAACGCCCTTCGGAGCGTGCGCTGTTGCTCCGCTGTGCGATATATCAGGCGCTGCGCATGCGTCCACAGCTCAGTGATTCAGCATCTTTCGCCTGGATGATAATTGATGGAAAAGTCCATACTTCGCTTCACCTTAAGTCCAGACGCAGTCGACGCTACGAGCTTATGGGACCAACCAGGTGCCCTAATCTGGACACTTCGCAGAAGAGTCGACGACAAATCCAGAGGTCGTGATTGGCCGGCTGCTGCGCTTGACCTTGGCGCCAGCCAATCAACGCCGCCGGATTCCTCGCGGACGTTTTCGCCAAGTGTCCGGGGGCCCTAATCTGGACACTTGGCAAAAAAGTCGGCGAGAAATTCGGCGGCTATGATTGGCCGGCGCCAAGGTCAAGTGCGGCGTTGGCCAATCGCGGCCGCCAGATTTCTCGCCGACGTTTTCGCCAAGTGTCCAGCTTAAGGCCCCAGATTAGGGCCCCAGATAGCGCCAAAATCTCACCATCGTGGTGTTCGTCGCGTTTCTGTACGTGTTCTGTCGTCGCTGACCCTATCATAAACAGAAAAAGGCCCAGTGACTTGCGCTTTTGGCGCTGTTTGATTGGTTCCATTAGCTTGTAGCTTCGGCTGCGTCTAGACTTTAGGTGCAACAAAATATAGCTGGTATCGATTAATATTTTTTATGTGCGCTAAAGGCATGAGTACACGTGCGTGTGTGTGGTTTTGGCTTCTCTTTTGCCCCTATCTTCTCCGTTTTTTTTTTTGTTTTTTTTTATTGTGACACTTGTTAATTGTGAGGTTTTGCAGCGGATCCGTTATGTGTACAATGAGGCCCGCCAAATCTAGCGGTAAACGCTTCTCCGTAAAATCTGGCTGCAATTTACAGTGTATCGTAACACTGCGACGTCACGCGATGCGTTCGTTTCCCCGTTAAAGCCGCACAGAGAAATTCTCCCCTCTAAATTGAGCGGGCCAATTTCTCCGCGAAATTTGGAGGGTGGAAACTGGGATTTCACGGGACGCTGTGACGCCACGCGACAACGTAACGCCACGGTCATGTGACCACATACATCCACGTGACGGCACCTGACAATGTAACCTTTGCACCCTTGCCGAATTTTCAATGGGGCGGAAAACGGTTGTGTGTAAGCCTGCGGCATGCAGAGTGTCATGAACCAGTGTCATGAACGAGCAGCGCGCTAAAAGCGTTAAACGACTAAGTTATACAAAATGTCCCTTCAAAAAAAAAAATGTACACTGTCTTTTTATTTTTTTTATATAAAAAATAAACTACGCATCGCCGAACGCTTATTCTCCGCCCAAATGTAGCGCTAGCGATCCGAACCAAACATGCCCAATTTTCAGCACTAACCGTTATCTTATTCAAAAGTTATAAGTGATTTGCTGAAATTTTCATTGAGAAAACGGCGGCCGACAGAGCTATTGAATACATGGAGCTTTATGGGCACCGTTAGTTACCGAAAACGGGCCGAAAAGGGGCCCCATTTTCCCATTTAAATTTTCAGAATATCGCGTAACGTTTAAACGAGGCACCGGTTAGTGCTGAAACTTTGGTACCTGTTTCGGACCTCTATCGCTACATTTGGGCGAAGAATGAGAGTTCGGCGATGCATAGTTTATTTTCGCGACAAAAAAAAAAAAACTGTATTATTTTTGTGTTTTTTTTATCTTTTCTTTTTTAAATGGGGGGGGGGGGCGGGGGGGGGGCGGGGGGGGGGGCGGGGGGGGGGCGGGGGGGGGGGGGAGGGGGGGCCGGCCGCTGTATTTAAAGTTTAAAAAACCAAAAAATAATTTCAAAAAGAAAGTATAGAAGGAAGTTAAAACACAAGGAAGACGCCCCAACGGGACTCGGACCTGGGTCGGTGCGATGGCACAGCTACTCTGGAAGCATCGCCACCATTGCGCTCCCGGCGAAACGCCTCGGCGAGAGTTGTGTGACGTTATATATGAGATTGTTACGGGTGGCGACTAAAAAAAACAATAAATAAACAGGAATAAATAAACATTTAATGTGGCGTACTTATGCCCAAAACGAAATAGAAAAAGGGATAGCGTCGCAGGCGTCGATGGCGGCGAAACAGCAGGATTAACCGCTCATTCACACTGGAAGCGGATCCGCGTTCACAAAGCGGTTGCGAACGCGGTTGTATAAAGATCCAGTACAATTGCACGCGCACTTGATGTCATCGAGTGCGCGTGCAATTGCACTGAATCTTTATACAACCGCGTTCGCAACCGCTTTGCGAACGCGGATCCGCTTCCAGTGTGAATGAGCGGTAAGTGCTGGAACGAGATGGACTCTGCTCGCCATGCGGAGTCCCTTATGTACCCTCGTGGGTTGCTGGAACATTTGGCGTAGAACTTGCGGCGCGTAGAACATTGGGAAATCGATCAGACGACAACGTTCTCGAACTTACGAGAACGCCAAGTTGAAAGAATAAATAAAAGAACATTCCGGTAACTGGAATCGAACCTAGACATTCCGCGTGACATTCAAGCGCGCCAAACATTTGGCCACGCACGCGCTCGCTCGTTGACGCGCGTGGCAATATACGATGTGACCGCTCGCCTCATTGATGTCGCTTATCGGGCTAGAGCCGTGTAAGGTAACGCTCGTTTACTGGGTCTCGCCCTGGCTAACATCTGTGGTGAGCAATGATAAAACTAGATAAAACTAGAACGCATTCTGTGTTAGCTGGTCTTTGTTAAAGTCACTGGGTCCTCTGAAAGTAGCCTGACTGCCTTCTCTCCCTGCTAGCCGGACAGAAACAGATACTAACACACAGACGACCAAACCTCGCAGGCTGATCTGTTTCAGTTTCCATGACAATCGCCGTTTCGGTCCATTTAAATCTTCGAAACTTCGAAAGGGTCGTTCTGAACCACTCGCGCCAAACTCGCTCTGTAGCGTCATCGTACTGAAAGTGTTCCTTGCCAATATAAGCGTCTCGGGCACTGTGTATCTGATCAACTTATCAGTCATGCTTATCTCCCCTGATCTCTTACAATGATATTGTTGTTCTTGCGTTTTTCAAGAAAGGAGAACGAATGTTTAATGCCACCGACGCCGTATATGGTGGCGGTCCGAAGATGTGCGCTTTTTCGCCGGTGTGGGGAGAACAAAATCTCGGTATTCAAGAAATGTCTCTGTAAAGCAACCTGTCACCGGAAATTTGGATTGGCTCATCGAGGATGAAGAGCTCAAGGAGAAACCGTTCGTTCTATGAACCAAAATGGTGACCGCATACGCTTAATCTTAAACAAGATGTTTTGTCTTTGTAATTGCGTTTCAGATGTTTTGTGCGGTTTGAAAGAGTACACTACTGAGTTACTTAATAGGTATGCGTGTGTGTTTTCTTTTTATCTCATAATTTACTTAATAGGTGTGTGTGTGTGTGTTTATCATCGTAAAAAATAACCCCAGAAACTTGAGCTCTTATCAGAATGTTGGATCTTCATCGAAACATCGAGATTTGCTGCTAAATTATTAATGCATCCTGACTCAGCGTCAGAGGCAGTATCGACCCCCTCGCTTCACAATTTCTTTGAACGTGTTGTAAACTGAAAAACCCGTAATAGGCGCTTGAACCAACCCCCTCCCCCTTTCCGCGTCCCGTCCCAAGAAAACAAAAAGTTCTTTGCTGAGAATACTTCGTGTCCAAAAGAGTGCTGAAACGATCATCGAACTCAAGCCTTGCGTGAAAATATTTTTTCTTCTTCTTTATATTTCTGCTCGCTGAATCTCTACGGTGCAGTCGCTTTAGAAACCGCGTTCGATATCGCTTTAGTTTGCAAATTTTGCGTGGTGCGTCGATGAGCATACTCTACTCCGTTTTGTCACCCTACGATGAACCATAGCGGAAGCTGCAGGCCGTCCCAACCAATCCGGCGCCGCGAATGTGTCACGTGTCTACGCGCCCCTCACGTTGCCGTTACCCCTCCCTAAGGTAACGTGACGCTCACGCGGCATCGGACTGGCTTCGATGGCTCGTAGTGTCGTGCGTGGTCCACCGTTATTAGGTGAAACGGGGTGTGGCTCGTGGCACGTTCACGCACGGCGCGCTGACAACCCCATAATTGATTTTCTTTCACGCGGCGAAGCTACTTCAATTTAGGCGCGTTCTTAGCCCCCACACTTCGGGCGCGTCTTCTAAGTTGAGTAAAGTATTTGCGTGCTCCAAGACTTTTTATGCAAAAAAAAAAAAAATAAAAAACTATATACGCTCGAAAAAAGGTTCTTAGTAATCTAAAGAAGGGAATGGTTATGCCGTGCGCAAGTTTCGGTGTTATTCAGCCTGAATTTTGTGTGTGTGTGTGTGTTCATTCCTTTTTTTTTAAATTTTTTTGCAGTGCATCTACGGATGCTACGTCCACTCTGCTATTCTGCCAACTTTCCACCGACGCTGCTACTGGCTCCTACAGGTAAGCCTTTTCTTCGCGGTCCGCTGTTTCACCCAAAAGCTGCTGTTTCACCAAATACAGACACAGGTACTAAAAGTAGAGAGCCTGTATTGGGAAGACAGGGTCCATGTGAGGCCATGGCAAGCGTTTGCAATTTCATGGTGGACGCCTTCTGCAAAGATTTGTCGCAAGCGCGCATGCGCTGCTTTTTCGCTTGGCGAGATGGGGAAATCAGGCGGAAAGGTGGAGAGGTTTGCAGACGATCAACGCTTCTGCCACCTTCTCGCGGCCCACGAACCACGTGACCACGTGCACGTGACCTAGATAGAGCAGTTGTGGAAACCCTTTGTAAGGCAGGTTTTCTAAATCCGGGGTCACACTGCTCGTACATCATACAAACAGACAGTCTGCAAACACGAGTCACCGGAGTATCCTCCGTGGTTCGAATGCCGCGCGCCAAGTTTTCTCCTTGAACTCGTGGCCCTGCGGCATTCGAAGCACGGACCTCGCGTTGACTCGCGTTCGAATCTGTATGTAGACTGTCTTTCGTATGATGTACTATAAGCAGTGTGACCCCAGCTTAACTAAAAGCATAAGGTCGCGGCGCATTCGCTGTGGTTGACTGGTTCAGCCGATGATAACCCACGCACGGAAAGATGGCAAATTCCGTGACGTTGCTCTTTCTTGTCGCTGCTTGATTGGCCTCATTAGATTCAAGTGTGCCTAGATATCTCAGATTGTTTCCAACTGGGCGATCGCGGTCACGTGGTTGATGAGCTACGTTGGCAGCACGAGCTGCGAAGAGGTGACGAAAGACAAGTGGAACGCCATTACAGTCGGATCGACCGAGGGCCCCTGAGGTTGGGCACGAGTGCTGTGTGCCAGTGTTCGGCTAGGGTTCGTGTTCACTCAGAGCATCCAAGGTCGGGCTCGGGTCCAATAGCCGAGTTAGCGCGATACGACTGTAATGACGTTTCATGATGGGGAGGAGCCGCCGATGCGGAGGCTTTGAATATTCTATAGGTGGTGTTACCCTCCGTATGTGTTCCCATGCGGCTTACAATTATGTTGTGTTGTTCCTCCGACACGCCTGGTTAATCGAATTATCGATCGGCCAAGAGATAGTTCTTTTTGCGTGTACTTCTGGATGAGAGGCGCGACGCATCGTTCGGGATAGAAATTGGTCGGGAAAAAGGAAGGTAAGCCTCGGGTCATATTGTTCGTGCTAGGAGCGGCGCGATAATTAATATGTGCGTTTCATTGTTTCTGTATGCGAATGGTATGCTGTGGGCGCTAGCTCCGAAGTACGAAGAAGCGTATATTACAATTTATAAAGCGGATTTGTTTTAGAAAATTTCAGTCGGAGTGTTTTATAAACAACAATACGACTTATATCTGTTTTTTTTTTTTATGTATTGGTTTTTGCGAATTTCCCGCGAAGGTCCCATTTTTTTTTCAATTCGTTCACTCTAAGAAGTGGGGGGTATACAGGGGTACTCCCCTCATCCCATATGTAACTCCCCAAAACTATCCTTCGTCGTTCTGTTCACTGACGTCGAGCTGGCGATACCAACTTTTGCGAGCGGCTTGATAGCTGTTAAATATAACGTATTAAATAGCTAATGTGGGTATCAAAGACTGCAACAACAAATATTACCGAGGTTTTGCAGCAGGGCCATAAAAACCTTTAATGTCTTAATGTAGGCTTTAGTGAGTACATTAGCTATTTTAATAAGTTGTATCGCTCGACTATCAAGCCGCTCGTTAACGTTGGCTTTGGCAGCTCGACGTCAGTGGACAGAACGACGAAATGTAATTTTGGGGAGCTATGTATGGTGACAAGGAGGATAGCCCTGTGCACCCCCTATTTCTTAGAGTGTTGGCTCAGGGTGTTTAAACTGGCTCCCTCTCGTGGCGATCACAACACACGCATGCGGGCTTATCAGTGCAGTTTCGCTGCGCCGACCGTACAATTATACAACTGCGACCAAATAAAAAAAAAAGTGCAGTTTATATACAAACCTTTTCGTGTGTGTAAATAACCGGTTATAGGATAAAGTCTAGACCTGCAAAATCAGCTAATTTCGTGGTTCACGTCATACTTTCCTTGTCTTCAGAATGTTCTGGGCAGTGTTGCGGAAGGCAGGCGCGTCGGTGCTTATGGCAAGGGACGTATTATTCGTAGCCGCGTTTATCTCTTAATTGCGATTGGCATAAGTTCGGAGTCGGAGAGAATGGCGATGCCTTCGTGGAAAGATTGCAACACGGGCGCGCATCGATTTACATCGATTTACGCGGTGCAAGCCGTCGTCATGTTAGGATGACTCGCGCTGTGCCATCCCCGCTGACTCATCTGGGCTGTACCTCGTCTCAACTTACCATGGACCGTTGTGGACGCTACGAGCCACCGAAGCCGTTTCCATGCCGTGTATCGTGACCTTCGACAAGGGTGTGGGGAAGCGGCGTGCACGGGCGCGTAATCACGGGGTACATCCACAGCGTTGGGTTGACTGGGACGGCTCGTAGCGCCGCTGAAACGGAGCCGAGCGCGATCGTATGCGCTGCTGGGGAGAAAGATCAGCGCGCCCGAGCCCTGTGTGTCGTTAATCGTCCGGGGTACAGGGTAACGGCATCGGCGCATCTTTCGAACTGCTAGCAGTTTCCGAGGATCAAAAGGCGAACAAGCCGCAATTAAAACATGCATGGAAATCTGCAACGACGAGAAGAAGTTCAAACATAGAAACACAAAACCTACTGGAAACTTCAGAGCTGGTATACATTTTTTCATGGCTTATCCAAAAATATCGGTCACTGTGCTTCAGATGCACGCGCCGTGTTTAATATTCGGCTGAAAAGAGCTAATGCGCATGCGGATAGCGAGTTCCGCAGCCCGGTAAACAAAGGCAGAAGGCGATTGTTTTTTAATGGTCTACACCACGGTGGTCTACACTTCCAAATGGGCAAACGGCGGTTCGAATTGATTCGCATACCATTTATTACCTTTGCAGAGCCAGGACAGACCGGCTCTCTTTTCAATGCCAAAGCAATGGGGATGATGCCGCGCCTGGATTCGAAACAGTATTCGCACACTCCCTAATACTTACCACAACTATAGGTGCGCAGCCAAAAACCGAAAGTCGTACTACATTCACATACTGAAAGGGGAGGGGGGCGGGGGCCCGGGGGATTAGGGGGGGGGGGGGGGGAAGAAGTCGCGCGATGCATTCACTGCGCTCGATTGGTTTAGCCGATTATTGGGGGCGTACAACGAAAGGACAAATGCCGTGACGTTTCACTTTTGACACCCTTTGATTGGCCTTACTGGCTGCTGGTAGCTTCCGACTGCGCCTTAAGGCCGACTTAAGGTGAAACAAAATATATAGATAGCTTCACTTCGATATCGGTTATGGGCTGCGTTTGCATGGAGCATCGCGTTTGCATGGAGCATCGTCGCGCATCGAATCGAGATCTGACTGTCTCGATTGGTAGCGTAAAGAGGGTTAGAAGTGCAAGACGTGGAGAGACAGAGTGCGTGGGATTGGCGCCTGTTTGATTCGACAATAGAATTCCTGTAAACCCAGTCGCTGACAGCTGAAGGAACGCGAGGCTTACTTACCTTGACGCTTCGCGGTTGGTTATTTGGCCTTCTTATCGGCTAATGCCGCAATGTCATTGCTGCGAAGCGCAGCTCTTACCGCTCATTCACACTGGAAGCGGATCCGCGTTCGCAAAGCGGTTGCGAACGCGGTTGTATAAAGATCCAGTACAAATTGCACGCGCACTCGATGACATCAAGTGCGCGTGCAATTGTACTGAATCTTTATACAACCGCGTTCGCAACCGCTTTGCGAACGCGGATCCGCTTCCAGTGTGAATGAGCGGTTAGGCTTCTTCGGCCGCCGGCGACTGTACGGCGAGCTAGTGTTCCAAAATACGCCTTCGTAGCATCGAAACAGAAAGATGCGCGCACCAATCGAAGGGCAACATAGAGATCGCCCAGGGAACGCGCGATGACGAGGCAGTCAAGCACACACCGTCATTGGTTGAGGTAGGGAGAAGAGGGGTGCAAAAGCACGCGGGCACTTTTGGGGAGGGGGGTGGGGGGGTGTACGCATGGAGCAGGCGAGCTTGGATGCCGTACGTATCACTTCGTTACTTTTCCCTTCATCGCGAGATTGTGTCTGCACCTTCGTTGTTGCTAACGGCTCACATACCGTTAATGTTTATAAATGTGGGCACAATTTCAACGCTTCTGTACTTTTTTTCTTTGTCGATGGTCATTTATAGGTTATTTGTAATGTCCCTGTCGCCTAACAACCATTTTAAATAGTAAATATGAAATTGTATTTGCAGAAATGTCGCAAATTCAGACTTTCAATATCAACGCGTCTAGACAGGAATACTTGTTGTCCGAGGTTTCCTGCGAGATCTTTTTTTTTTTTTTTTATGTTCGTGATTTCTCGGAAATTTTCGTCGTTGTCTGAAAGAGTTGAATCTCGGCGAAAGAGTTCCCCGCCCTGCGGGCATTCTTCATAACCTACGAGGCTTTCTTTGATTTGAAGTCGTAACCAGGGTGTCCCAATTTGTTTCCCGGGAGAGTTCGAATACAGTCCTAAACCAAATCCTTCTAACTCGCTTCAAACGTCTGGAAAGTTTGGAAATTTTTTGTAATCCTCTTTTAACCTCCGGGTATATTTCGAGTTATTATAATATGATTGGAGTGCGGGGTTTGAAAGTTGGATTGTTCTCCCATATTTCTAAGCCCGTGGTACTTAACTATCGTTGGACCCCTTGATTGAAAAACATGCGCACACCGCCTTTGAAACCACGCGCAGCTGCCGGCCGACATAGTTTAAACTCTAAGACAGGGAAAATGACAAAAACGGATAATACAGCGCTGTCTCAAATAAGATGAAGGGATAACAAGGCGCTTTCGCTAAAATAATTTCAACGAGAGAAAGCATGTGGGCGAGATGGTTGGATAACGACAGAGTTTAAACTATGATACGAGAAAAATGAAA